GGCTACCTGTATTTGTGTTGTTTTCAAAGAAAGGAGAAGGATATTGAAGAAAATGCAGGAATCTGGGCAGGACTTGGGAATCTCTCTTAGAACTTTTCCAGGTAATACTTTATGTTAATTTAGGAGAACTATGTTATCTCCAGGAAGGCCTCACTGCAGAAGTGAATGGGGTTGGAGCCACAAGTCCTCAGCTGTGACCTTATCTTGTCCTTTGAGGCTCATGGCTTCATCCACCATTACAGGCCTCAGTAGGGACCAGTGACTCACAAGTAAACATAGAAAGCCAATTGGTTAATATAAGTCCTGCTCAGAGCTGCTTCATAGTAGTCTCTATCAATCATCAATTTAATATTAAATTTTGTATCAGATTGTATATATTTAGAACAATGGGTTTTAATTTAAGATCACTGAGAAATTGAAATATTTTTTATAACTCCAACTACTGATTCCTTTGCTCAAGATAATCCTACACCCAGAAATATTCCCAATTCCACTCTTAGTCAGTGAATTCTACTCCCAGAGTTGATTTTTTCTTTTAATATTTTCAAGCATAATAAAACCATGACAGGTATTAGAAAAACAGTCATGAAAGATGACTCATGAATATTTTCCTTTAAAGACTCACCAGAGGCAAATTCTTTTATTAGTTTGAGTAGCGGATATAATTAAAAGACCTAGGTGAAATATTTAGATATTCTTAATGCAGCTGCTGAATGCAATCCAACAGAAAGGCAGGGATCTTCACTACCAGAAGCAGCACATGGAACATGGTATGTGCAAAGGTTTTAGCCTGCTCAGTGTAGTCAGTCAGTTGTGAGCGGTGGTTGAAAGAAGGTGGGTTTTAATGTACTATAAATCAAGAACCACAAAGAACAGATTTCATGGAGTTGGCAAATAATTGCTTCTTTTGAGTCCAGATTTTTAAGAAATGTCATCATGAGAGAGAAAACTTGGGTCTATGGTTATGATCCTGACCAAAGTTGAGAGTTCTCGGTGGAAATCACCAAAGTTCTCCAGATGTGAAAAAAGCCTGTATCAGTCCAGAGCTGACCTCAAAGTGATGTGGGTTGTGTTTTTGACAGTGAGGGAACTATTCAAGGGGAATTTGTACCCAGGAACACTACTGAGAATTCTGAGTATTATACAGGCTTGTAACACATTTAAAAAACCATATGCATAGGGAATGACCTGAGAAGTGGGCAGTGTTGTGTACATGTCATTCCTGATGTAGCAATTTCTGTCAATAAAAACATCACGATGTATCCACATCCATCATTTTCACTGGATCAGACTCATCCCCAAATTCAAATTATAATAAAAGGTAGACATTTTCAATTGATTCAGGACATCAAGGCAGCCAGGACAGCACAAGAAAACACACAAGTGCAAGAGGACTTCCAGAACTGCTTCAGAAAGTGGGGAGAACAGTGAGATAGGTGTGCTCAAAGTGAGGGAGAGTAAACATGTTTTCAACTTAAGTATTCACTTTTTAAACTTCAGTTTTTGATCATACCTCCTATGTGTGTATGGTGTGTGTGTGTGTGTGTACTTGTGTGTGTACCACTAACCTGTTTGGTGGGTTGTCTTTAATCCAATGAGCTTTGTCTATTTTTTGCATTCCAAATTTTGTTAATTTGACAGAAGTTGAAACTATAGCTCTACAAGTGCCTAACCATATTTGAATCAAGCAGTACAATATCTAAATGCTATTATCTGAAACTTCATAGATCTACTCTCATATGAAGATGTAGGAAGCATTTAATGGTACTAGGTGGCATTATAGTTGTAGAGGTTTTGAACTGGACATTTCAACATGTACATATTTATATTTATATACCCTATTATTACACAGAGTCTTTAACCTGTGTCATTTCTGTTAGTCTTTAAGATCATAATCCAGTAAATTATAGTTTCCTGAAGAAAGTCAAACTTAAAAATCTCTGCATATTCTAATGAATAAAGCCATCATTAGAAGGACAAGCTATGCAAATCTAGAAATGTATATACATGTCCTACCTTAGAAATAACATGTACTTTATTCACTGCTAGTAGCAAAGTATAGAATAGTTCTTTTATGACATGGTAAGGAAAAATAATAGGTAATAATATATTTTACTTAAAATCATCTTTATTTCAAGTCTCTGCAAAGCCAAAAGAAAGTTAAATTCCCATGTAATGGTCAAAGAAGCAGATTATGAGAGTTTAAAAGATTTCTGACTTTCTCATGCCTCATTAGTAATCAGTCCCAGAATTCTGAACCTCTGTATCACTGACCACAAGGCTCTTAAGGAGAATGTTCAAATGTCCCCACTGCGTCAGCTCAGGAAGTTGGAGTCGTGGCATGACCAAACAAGCAAAAGAGGGTCCTTTTCTCGCGGCAGAGAAAAGCTGGGAATTAATGCGGAGTGGAGAAGGCATGGACTGGTTGGCTGCTGTGTCCTGCAGCTTGTAGAATATACTGTGTGGAAAGAGCAAAAGAAAACTTCCTGCCATAAAAGTAATGATTCCTTAAGGGGAAAATAAACATCTGTTCCCTTGTCTAGCGAGTGTGTTTAGGGAAAGCAGCTGTTATCTGCTTTGAGTTAAGAGGTGGGCTTTTTCCACCTCCACACTTTCCAAAGTCACATTTGTGCTTCATCTCTGATGCTAGAGGCCAGTGTAAACCACAAAGGCCTTTGTCTAAACATTTTTCTTTCTCTCTTCCCCTACTTCAGCCCGTAGAACTGATTTTGGAAAAATCCGTATTTCCTTGTGAATTGTCGTCTTGGGTAAAGATTCATAAGAGGATGAACTTTCATTGAAATCTTAAAGAAGTTTGATGTATTTAAGTGAAATCTGAACGCCAAGATGAGCAGGGAAATATACAAGTACCCTCAATTTACAGGGAAATCTGTAGCTCTAGATAGCTCTATGAGAGATTATTACTTTGCCTTTTTTTATTCACAAAGGATGAAGGTAAAGCAGAGTGGTGACATCTAGAGTACTCAGGAAATCTAAGTTTGGGAACCTAGTTCCAATTTCTTAGTATTTCTTTTCTCTGACCCAAAATAAATAAAAACCTCTTTTCATCAGATTAATCTCAGCCCGATCTAGTTAAAACACTTTAAAAAGTGCTGAGATGGCCTGGGGATGGAGGAATGGGGTTCTTGCAAATTCCAGGCCCCACAGGGCCCCGCAGGAATCTAAGAGAGAACCTTTATGGGCTCCACTTGTTCAGAGGGTGCCAGGGCTCCTGGGCCTCAGCCAGTGGCTGCTTCAGGAGAAACAGAGCTCAGTATGACCTGATATTTCAGAAGAAACTGGAAATTTGTTTTTAAATTCTTCCAATTTTTAAACAGGATAACAGATTCACTAATTTAACAAAAATTAGTACCAAACAAAACAAATTGAGATGCCCTTGCCAGGTCTGCCAGTTTTCTAACACTGACTAATGGACTTCATCCTTCTAAGATTTGGGACTTTAAGAGTACAATTTATTGACTCAAATTAAGTACAGAAGATAAGATTTCTCCCTCCCATTCATTTAATAGTTATACTAAAAGAACACTAACGCTATTTATCAGTAGTCACAGTAGATACAAAAGTATGCAAGATGAAACCTTGCCTGTAGATCCCAATGTGCTTTAGGAGACAGACAGATAAATATAAATGTGAGTTATGGTAAACTGAATGTAACTCAGCAGGGTGGGGCTAGCTCTGGGGTTCACTTGACCCTTCTTTGGGTAGGAACACCTTAGAAAAGAAATATATCAATTAAAAAGAGTAGACACTTTACAAAAAGATCAGCATTGATGAAAAAGAGTAAATCATGTTTGAAAACAATACAAGTATTTGCTACAATTAATTAGCTACAAAATCAAAGTCAAGGATTTCAGTTAAGAAGCATCTTCCCCTCCAAAAATCAAAACCAGTTTCTCAAGGCCCATCCCAGAGCTACTAAATCAGACTCTCGGAGTTAGTGGTTGCATTACGCAGCACAGGTGTGTCATGATTAGGCGTAGGCAAAGCAAGTGTGGTGCAGACAAGCTCTGGTTATCTGCAGAGGGGAAACTGTCAGGGTGAGAGCTGCACACCCTGCCTGGACTGCAGACCTGGCTCCGTTCCATACCCAATGGGGGTACTATGATCAAGAAAATTAAATTCTTTATGCTTAAGTTTCTGTACCTCAAAAAAATGGACCTAGAGTATCTGCTTCATAAGATTGCCCTGAAAATGAAATGTAAATGTTTGGAATGTTACCTTTATCTTGCTCACTACTTGACTCCTGACTTACAGCATTGGACAGTTCTAGAATAACTGCTCCATAAATATTTGTTGAGTGAATAAGGCCAGGAGGGTATAAAAGGGCTGTATTATCGGGGGTTTTAGTAGTGCTTACTGTTTTAGGTATAATACTAGGATGGCAACTTCCTCTTCCTCTGCTTAGCCTAGCTGGAACTATATTAGTTACCCCACATGGCTCAGTTTATTAAAAAAAATTATAAGGAGTTGCTCCTGTAATAAAAGATTTCTAAAGTATTACATTTATTTTAGGCAGATCTCCATTACCATGACAAAATACAAGATTATCAATTTTTAAAAACAGAAAGGTTTATTTTGGCCTGTGGCGCTAGAGTTTTGAGTATGTGATCGGTTGTCACCTTTCTTCTGGGCCTGTGGCAGGGCGGTACAGCATGGCAGGAGGCATGAAGGGGAGCAAGTTGTTCAGGAAGTGAGAAGAAAATGGGGAAGGGCTTCAGTATTCCCTTCAGGGCCACGCTTTCAATGACTTCACTTCCTCCCACTATGCTCCACCTCTTGTTCCTCCACTTCCCAGCAACGACTGCTGCAGACCAAACCTTTAATGCATGGGCCTTTGGAGGGCATTTCATAATGCAAGTATAGTAACATTGAAAAGAAAAACTAAATACAGTGTGATATTTCCCTGTTGCTAAGTACTTGGGGAATCAACACTACCCTTAATGAACAGCTTTATTTCTTTTCTTCTCACCTTACGTAAGGCTGCTGTGGTACCATCGGCCCAGACCCTTAAAATTACTGACTTCAGCTTCAGTGACTTTGAGCTGTCTGATCTGGAAACAGCACTGTGCACAATTCGGATGTTCACCGACCTCAACCTTGTGCAGAACTTCCAGATGAAATACGAGGTAGGAGGCAGCTGTCCTTTGGAAATTGTGTGTGTGTGTGTGTGTGTGTGTGTGTGTGTGTGTGTGTAAGAGAGAATTGGTTTGGGACCCTGGTATGCGTTAGGGATTTTTACATTTCAGGGACCATTTGACTGTCATCTCATGCAAACTGTCAACCAGTAAAAAGACATCTATTGGGCTCCTCCCATGTATCAAGCCCCAGGCTGAAGAATAAAGGAGCGAGTTTCGAGAGCAGGGTGTGAGGCGGCAGGGTCACAGGACAGGTCACCCGGCGGAGGATGAGGGTGGTCAGAAGAGAAGCTGGAGGGGAAGTGAAGAGCCAAATTTTATAGAACCTTGTAAGCCATTCAAAAGAATTTGGATTTCATCCCAAAAATAATGTGAGTCACTGTGGAATTTTAAGCAGGGAAGCAACACGATCCAGTTGCAGAGGTTGTGATAACAATGTACAGGGAAGGGCCAAAAGAGGGGGAGCTGCTCTGGCAGTGAGGGAGCACAGGTGCTTGCTGTGAGGCCAGACTCTTAGCTGGAATAAGTCACCTGTGATGAAGATGAAAACTTACTTAACCCTGTTGGTTGCCTTATTCACCTCTCAGAAAATATCAGACTTAAATCAATACCTGGTAATATCAGTTTGGAGAGACCCAGGAATTCTGTTTTGTCTCACAGTGGCTGTGCATACAGAATCAAAGAATAAGGGAGGCATGGCTGTGATGATGTATACCTGTAATCCCAGCTGTGCAGGAGACTGAGGCATGGGAATTTCAAGTTCAAGGCCAGCCTGGGCAGTTTAGAAAGAACTTGCTCCAAAAAAGGCTGGGGATGTGGCTCAGTGGTAGAGCACTTACCTAACATGCAGCCACCAAACCTTTGGTTTGATTTCTAGTACTGAAGAAAAAAAGAAAAAAAAAGAATAAGAAGAGGAGAAGCCAGGCGTGGTAGCATACTCTAGAAGGCTGAGGCAGAAACATTGCAAGTTCAGAGTTAGCCTGAGCAACTTACTTAGTAAAACCTTGTCTCCAAATAAAAACTATAAAAAGCTAGAGACATAGCTCTAAGGGAAGGCCTTGGGTTCAATACCACTACCACCACCACCAAAAAACAAAAAAAAGGAGAACAATAAGAACTCTCTAGAACAATAATTTGGCACCCATACCTTTAAATTTTGGTTTTTTTGTTTTTTTGTTTTTTGTTTTTTTTGTCTTTTTGAAACAGACTCTCCCTGTGCAGTTCAGGCTGGCCTTGAGCTCACTTTGTAGCCCAGGCTGGTCTTGAAGTTGCAACCATCCTCCTGCCTCAGCCTCCCAAGTGCTGGGATTATAGGCATGCACCACCACCCCAGCTTAAAGGTTTTTTTTCATCAGTTGACTGTTGTCTGTGTACATATTTCCTATGTGGAAATTTAAGTATTTTGAAGTCTTTCACAATTTGGCTCTTAATTCATACAAGAAAATTTCCTTTCGTGCTCTGTGCCTGCTCAGCACTGTGTCACAGTTCAGCTGTGAGTTTTCCCCACTCTGAAAGGCCTTTCACTTAGGACAGAAAACTTAGGGCACATGAGCATAGCTAAAATGAACATAATTTCATATAGTGCTACTGGAGGCCCAAATCAAAATTCTTCTTTTAATTTAGCCAATTTGTATTACTCTTTCTTGAATCAAGACCAAGAGTATCTGTCCATAGACTAAATAGTACTTCACTCTTACCATTTAATTATTTTTTTATTTTAACGTCTCAGGAAAGGACCTTCAGTTATTATTATCCCCATTTTATAAGTGAAGAAATCAAGGCAGCCTGGCGCAGTAGAAGACTCAAGGATTTTGAGTCACAGATATCCCAGTGATCATCTTGTATTCTCTTGGTGATTACTGTCTCATATTCTCCACTTCCTCCTCTGTCAGTTAGTGGTGGTACTTCCTGCTGCGAGGCCCGTGACATATGCAAGCAAATACTTCTGTCTGATAGTCTGCTTCATAACAGGTGTAGAGTATGTGTCAGTTATCACGTTCATAGGCCAAATTTTACTATGGCTATCACCACGTCATTCTTTCTGTAGTATAGTATAAGGCTCACTGTTTAAAACTTCTTCTATTAATGAGATGAAAATCTCATTTCTGAGATTTGAGAATCAGCTTTGTTTGATAGTGTCTCTGTTCCCTTTCTATTCTTTTGAGAACTTCCATACTGGAAACTTGTAATAATTCTCTTGAAACATTGAAAAGACTTGCCCAGAAATAAGGTGATTTCTTATTTGGCTTTTAGATAGCATTTGAGAATTGAGTTTCTGTAACAGTCTTTATTCTTAACTTTTCTTGGATTTTTAGCAATAGGAAAAGAGTTCTTCTCAAGGTCTAATTTATCTACTTTCCTTTTCTGTTTGAATGAGCACAGTTTGAACGCCGAGCCACACCAGCCTGACCATTGCAATGACTTTGACTGGTCTTCTTGTCTTATTGCCTCTTCTGTTTTATTTCCGATATTATTGTCTTCTAAGATGATAAAATTAAAATGCTATTGCTAGAGAGGATGTTAACATCACGAAGCTGCTGACAAAGAATGTTTCTCATTAAAAAGTAGAGCTTTAAATTTCCACTTGTCTTCAGTATCTTGAGTTACTCTGAGTGGTCACGGCCATGCCTCTTGCTGATCTCTGAAGCAGATTCTTGACTCTGGTCCAACAAGTCTGCGTGTGCTGCTTATTTTCAACTTCTGTCTTTTATGTGCATTTATCCTCTGAATTGTATCCTCTGCATTTGACACCACCCTATACTCTTCTCTTCCTTACAGCCTGACACAAAAATGTCTGCAAGAGCACTCTAGGATTGACTCTGTGGCTTTTGCACTACTGTTTGACAGTTCATAAGTTCGTGCTTCCAATATTATGTTTATTTCTGTAGTTATCCGTGCACTTCTGTTATTTTTCACTATGGATTGGATTTTCAGGCAGGAGCTGAGCTCAGTTTGGTTTCTTGTCTTGTTCCCGTGACATCTTGAGTGTGCCACTCCAGGAAGCATCTGTAATTGTTGGAGACTGTATTGTTGGAGGCACTCTCTAGAGCCATCTAATCTCTGCTGCAGATGACTGCTCTGTAGTCCTGTACAAAACACTGCATTACCACGCATCTGCATGTTGCCGGACATATACAAGCTGACCTGAATTTTCCTGTGTGCTGTAGAGAACATCCTGATATTATCTAAAACTGTACTTAAATCTACTTACCAACTACTGTAGCCATTAAGTTGTCCAGTTTTATTAAGTCCATCTTAAGATATGTGTGGTAATCTACCAGGAATTATGTTTCATATAGTCAGTGTGGTAATTCAGACTTTATGGCATATATGCATATTTAATTATCAATTAGCGGAAATAAAAAGATACGTCCATATGTTAAATTTCTGGGAACGTTTTTATTGTTTTAACGAATCACAAATAATTTTCTACAGTATGTCATTGTAGTTTCTAAACATATCAAAGAAAACTTACAGATTTTACTTAAAATTTTCCTAGAAAGATTCATTCATCCTCCCCCTGACAGATTGTATGCAGAAAAGGTCAAGCCTGCACTATACTTGGGGTGAATTCTTGCCAGTTTCAGACACACAGAAATCTTCTGCTTATAGTACAACTCGGAGCATCAGCGGTTAGGGGACACTCGTATTTGTCTCCAGAACTCCCTGTAAACTGAAGGGAGTGTAGAGAAGAGGGACAAAAAAAGACCTAAAAAGCGAAGGGCAAACGTGAAAGCACTGATTTCCTGCTGAATTCTCTTTACCTAGTTTCTAGGGCAACACTGGCGAAGCCTTGATTGTGGCCTCCTTCCGTGGCTTATCGCAGTGCGTTTAATACAGGCAAAAAGCCATCCTTTGCCCTCTACTTTTGTGCTCCCCTGTACAGTGCTCTTTGTGTTTAGAGCACCCGTGGTGATGTACACAGGGAGAAGCACAGGTTTATTTTTAGAGAACCCCGTAAGGGTAGAAAATCATTGGGATTTAAAAAGAGGTAGAGTCTGACGCTAGCACAAGGACAGACTAACCATGCTTTGGCTCCGTGAGTCCCTGGGGATTTATTTAATACAGCACTTACACTTAGAAGTTGAATTAAACCCAAATGTGAGGCTTTCCGAGCAGTATGGTCTTTTTCTTTCCCTATCCTCATCACCTTTTAAGGTGTATTTTTTCCATATAGACCCTCAAGCTTTATTTTGCATTTGTTATTTTAAAATTTTTACTTCGTTTTTTTTTTTTTTTTTTTTGGAACCTGGAATCAAACTCAGGACCTTGCGCTTACCAGGCAAGCACTTGTGCCACTGAGCTATATCCCCAGCCTAGATTTTACTTCTTGATAGACAAGAAGTAACTGTGTTTGATACTTCAGCATAATTTAAGAGGACAAAACTCTAATTAATGGTGGTGTTAGGACTTGTAGCTCAGATTTGGCCTTGCATGTGTGCTGTCCACTTTGTCCCCAGCCCATCCCAGAGCTTTGCACGTGAACACCTTCGCAAGTGCACAGCTTGGGCACATGGAAAAATTTGTTCCCGAAAGGTGAATTCATGCGTATGTGACTTTCTGAACTCAACTGGTTGATGACACAGGGACATAATATCTTGTAAAAACGTAGTCAATGCCCTGCTTGTGCCAAAAATACCTCTTTTGGAGATGTTGTGTATTTTACACCTAATTTACGATGCTGACCTCTACAGTCAAACCGCTCAAGTTTGAATTCTAGCCCCATCGCCAAGTTACTTCCACTGCTAAAGGATCAAAGTAGTACTGCCTCCCTTGCAGTCACAAGGATGAAATGGGAATGCTTTATACTGTGCCTGGGAGATAGTCAGTGCATGACGAGCGTTGTCTGTTATTGTTGCTCTTTGTACTTTATTTCCTGAAGGTTCTTTGCAGATGGATTTTGAGCGTTAAGAAGAATTATCGGAAGAACGTTGCCTATCACAACTGGAGGCACGCCTTTAATACAGCTCAGTGCATGTTTGCCGCCCTAAAAGCAGGCCAAATCCAGGTATGTTTTAGAGTCACTCATATCCTTAAGACATTTTGTAACCTAGCAATAAAACATATAGCATGTTCTTCTAAGTTTTTTTAATGTGCACTAATGGAGATTGAAAATAACTTATGCCACTCACATAGTAAATCACAATTTGTTAAAGAAGATGAATATGACAAAATACTTGCTAATTTTCTTTCACATATAATATACATGACATACTAGGGGTGTTTTAAATACCTTTGTATTATACTTTAATACTCTTTGGGAAAATAAAAATTTCCCTCAGAAAATGATAATGCAGTGTTAAGAAAAAGTATCACATCCCTCATGTTCACCTTCAACCTCTCTAGAGTAACATTCTTCAAAAACTGCCTAAGTCCTAAACTTGGCTTCACAGAGCAGCCGAGGGTCCTCCACGGTATTTTCTCTGGAGCACTCACGCTCTTCTGCTATTTTGTTTTCATATACATTGATCAGAGGCTGTTTAAAAGAAAGATTAACGCAGAAAAACGTTCAAGCCATTCGTTCCTTTTCAGGCCACATTTTACCCCTCTGTCTGTCTTTAGAGTCTAACTTTAGTGGGAATCAACTAGTTATTCTAAGCAAGTGATCCCAGGCATCTGTCATGTAACTCTTCAATTCAGAGCTTTCCTGTTCTTTTTTTTCTTTAAATAAATTCTAAAAATGTTATTCTCTATCACATATTGTAACTGACTAGATCTAATAGAAGCAACTGAGCTGGAGGGGGAGCTCGTTGGTAGAGTGCTTATGTAGCATGCGCCAGGCCTTGGGTTCAATCACCTTCCATCATCAAACAAAAAACAAGCAAACCATGGTCTGAGAAGCCATATGAAACAACCATACACATGCTGCATAGCAAACACTGGTAAGAAATAGATTAACCTTGTTTGGGTACACAAAGGTTATGAGGATTATCACTGTTGAAAATTTTCCTTGATTTTTATGATAAATAATAAAATGATACTTTTGTGTATGCTTTAAAACTTCTTTGTAGCGCTGAGAATCCAGGCAGAATAGAACTGACACAGTGATTTAACTTGTGAATTTTTACTAAGGAAGGGGAACAAGTACAGATAACACAAATGGCAGAGACTAAAAAATATCCTGTATTTGGTCTGGGCATGCATAATGCAACTTATGAAAGCCAAACTGTTATTTCTAATTATTTGTTTTGTGTAATAGTCACATCATCTATGTTCCTTGAGGCTACAACAACTCACAGCAGGTAGTGAAGCAAAATGTCCAGGAACCAAAAGAGAAAAAACAATTATTTAAAGTTTATAATGATCCTTCCACATATAGATAATTAAGAATTAGTGATATTGGGGCTGGCTAGCTCAGTGGTAGAGCACTTGCCGAGCATATATGAAGTTCTGGGTTTGATCTCCATCCAAGGAAAAAAAAAAGTTGTGATTTTACTTTAAATAGACAGATTATTCTTTGGTGAGACATTTCGGCTTTTCCTATTCATAAGTGACATTTGCAGTAATCCCATTGTAAATGACAAAGTACAGCTGATTCCCTACAAAACAGGGTCCAGTGTGAATACACAGAAATACATAAAGCTTTGAGAAAAACAAAAGTAGATTACCGAAAAAGAATGGTAAAATGCCCTTTGCCAAAGTGTATCTTTCTTTTCTTTTCCTGCAATGCCTCTGACCATGCAGAACAAGCTGACGGACCTGGAGATACTTGCACTGCTGATTGCCGCACTCAGCCACGATTTGGATCACCGTGGTGTGAACAACTCCTATATCCAGCGGTAAGATGGTTTACCCAGCGAAATTAGGAAATGTTTTCTTTAAATTGTAGGGCTGTGTTTTTTTAATTAAAGCCTCAGGAAAAAAAAATTGATGTTTCAAAATTTCAATTGATCAAGCTCCCGTAATTACTCTGGTTATATTTAATTGAAATGGAAAAAATAATGTAAGTGTAATACTATGTAGATCATGTTTCAGGCCTAAGTTTAAAAAAAATACTTAAAAGAACTTGAAAGTTTCTTTAGAAAATTATTAAGACTCATTCAAAGGAGATAGACTTTCACCTTGTATTTGGGAATTGCTTAGCATGGCCCAGTTCACTGGGTAAAAAAAGTTCAGCAGAAAGAGATTCTGGGTCCTAGTGGAGGCACTAGAGTACAGGATTAAAAACCTCAGGCTTTGTAGTCAGTCTTGGATTCCAATCCCAGCTCTGCCACCCAACTCCTGGTTTGTCTTGTGTGAGGGTGCTAACTTCTCTACATCTTAATTTTCTGATCTGTAAAATGGGGTAACCCCAGCAGTCCAGAGCCTGAGGCAAGAGGATTGCCCCAACTTCAAGGCCAGCCTGCACTACATGGTGAATACAAGGCCGGCCTGAACTGTATAGCGAGATCCTGTCTCAAAAAAAAAACAAAAAAAAATTGGAGATGGTAGCACGCCCACTTCATAGGTCAGTATCCATATTAGGAGACGACGCCAGGTGTGCTGGCACACACCTGTAATCCCAGCACTCGGGAGGCTGAGGCAGGAGGATCATTGGGAGTTCAAGAACAGCCTGGGCTGCCGAGTGAGCTCCAGGCCAGTGTGAACTGCATAATGAGACCCTGTCTCAGAAAAAAAGACAAAAAACAAACAAATATTAGGAGACTGCACCCATCAATACCAAGCAGAAGGCCCAGAGTGTACTATGTTAAATCCTAGCAGCCAGTGCTGCAGATAGTTGCATCATTGTCATTTGCAGAGTTGGAGAGACACTAACCCTTAGCACAAGAGTTTCAAACTTCAGGGGCCACAGTTAAGTAGCATTTGTGATGACAAATGAGATGATGAGGCAATAGTACTTTGAGCCACTGTGACATTTTTATTGTCCTGCAGCAGTGTGGTCAGAAAGTCTCCATTATAATGGTACAACTGCTTCCTATTGAGTATTTTTTAAAAATATGCAAGTGATTCAACTAGTAGAGAGATCTCTTAAGGAAACTCCAAATGGCTGATGTCTTGAGGATGTTTCAGAAAGCTCTCTAATCACAGTCCCTTTATCTAAACAAACAGAAAACTTCATGTAAGAAGAATTGTAGTAATGCAACAACTATGTCCTATGCTGACCTTTGATGGGAAAAGATAGCTCTTGTCTAACTACCACAGACTGGTTGTTTCCTCTTGAAAGCCTAAATGTTTTGAAGAACTGACTGGGTGACATTTCCTTTGTCTCTGTGCTTTGTCATGTGATTGCGACGCTGAGCCTCACAGGAGGACTGAGAGTCATTATGGAAGGAAACATCAAATGTAAAGACTTACAGCGTAGTCAGGCAACATCGTGTGGCATTTCATAATCAGCATGACATAAAGATCAGAATGATCTTGCACCATGACCCTCCCTGGCTTGCAGTCGAACCCTATATTATTAATACATGGACTGTTAGTCTGTACATTGCTCCAAGATGCTGTGTTCCTTAGTCTGTACATTGCTCCAAGATGCTGTGTTCCTCCGTATATAGTGAAGAAGAAAGAAAAACAACACTCAACTATTTTTTCCTTTGTTTATTTAAAAATAATTACCCGGAAAAAACATCTGGAGAAACGTCATCTTCTCTCTTAAAAGAAAAAATGTCCTGGGAAAAAGTCATAAATTGCAGGATCTTGCTTTCACACAACACAAAGCAGACTTCAACCAAGTAATAATAACTTTTAAAAAAAAAAATTAAAGTGGTTTTGGAGACTTATTTCTTACTATATCCCTGTGAGTCAAGTAAAAGAAACCAAGATTTTTTTCAGAGATTTTTTATAATTTTCCTTACTGGTAAATGAGTGATAACTTGCTATAGAATTCCGTTATCCAGGGGACTCTTGAGAGAATAGAAGTGCCATACACATTCCCATGTAAAGTACTATCTTCTATACAAGGGACTGTGTTCAGTCTTCATCAGATGTGTAAACTAATATATAAAGAAAACCACTTTTAAACGTGGTGGTGGTTAGCCTGATTAGAGGCAGATGCTCACAGTGACCACAGATGAAATGAGAGGATGGGCAGTTGAAGTTACAAGACCCTGCTGATGGAGGGCTGTGGGACGAGATAGTGCATTTTACATTTAATACAGGCAAAACCAAGGAGCTATGGCCATATGTAATAAAGACATTTTTTAGGAAGAAAGCTGAAAATTAAACTAGAAGGTAAATGGGTAGAAATGAAAACCACAGAGCTCTATCAGAAATCCTTTATAGCAAGCCAAACAGACAAACAGAAAGAGAAAAATGACTGTCCACCTTGAGCAGTTTATTGCATGCATGAAGGCAGAACAAAAATCGTGACTTCTCGTCTGAGAAATAGCTCAGAGATGGAGCGCCGGTGACAGTGGAGGGCTGGGGAGTCGGGCCTGTGTGTGGTGGGAGGGAGTGCAGAGGCCAGGGAGGGCGGGTGGAGAAGCTTTGGCAGGGGCAGATGGGAAACGGGTTGGCAGGTAGAAGAGGTTAAATCAGCCAGTGAATTTTTTTCCCAAGATTCAAAGTAGCATCAAACCAGAAAAAGACTATTTCCACAATCAGTCGTGGATGTCTGTCCGGGTTGAGCTCACTCTATGCCTGATCCTCTCTGGTCCTAATGAAGGAGCTGGGGCCTTGGCTGGCACAGTGGCATCGGGGTCCACAGCATCTGAGAGACTTACAAGGGGACTAATGAGAGCTCACAGACATAAGTTGCAAAGTTCAAACTATGTAGAGTCCATTTTATGAAGGAATGAGCCAGTTTCTGAGGTCTCAAAAAACTGGAGATCTGAATATGAATAAAGTGCAAGTTCAAGCCAGGCAGAAGCCTGCAATCCCAGCTACTTGGAAGGCTGAGGCAGAAGAACGGCAAGTTGAGGCCAGCCTGGGCTAGTCAGTGAGACTGTCTTAAAAAATAAAAGAGTTGAGACACTAGCTCAGTGTTGGAGCACTTGCCTAGCATGCTTGAAGCCATAGGTTCAATCCCCAGTAGTGGGGGTGGTGGTGCAAGTCTAATTATTCACAATGTCAGTAGTTGAGCATGGCATGGTGGCACATGCCTGTAATCCTAGAACTTGGGAGGCTGACGGAAGACTGCTTTGAGTTCAAGGACAGTCTGGGCTACAAAGTGAGTCCAAGGCCAGCCTGAACTGCACAGTGAGACCCTGTCTCAAAAAGACAGAATGTCAATAGTAATAGTAATAGACACTAGCCCTAAATATAGTCCTAAGCATGTGACACTTGGAACTCTGTTCAGTCCTTCTCCTTTGCAGTGTCTGTGGTATTTCCGATGAATAAAGGTTGATTTGCGTAGGTGCCTCTTTTAAAGTCTAAGTCCTTCTCTCATCACGCGACCTCACACAAGTCATTTAACCTCTGTTCCTGTTTCCTTCTCTGGAAATGAGAGTCCCTGTCTCAAGTTATTTGTTAGGGTCAAAGGAGTGCAAATAAATATGAAATGCTTGGAACACTTAGCAAATATTTTTCAGAGCTTAACTGTTTTCATGGGAGATGCTTGTAATGACAGGTGGGACCTCAAGATCTTGTCTTGTGCTATTGTGGATTAGGCAGAGATCTGAGCATAGGGTAATATATACAGACAAGAAGCAGTGTCAGTGTTAGTGTTGGCGAAAAGGCAGAGACTGGAGTGGCAGGATCATTTTTTCACAGGCTTTCATTTTTAATCAATATCTAAAGCTTTCTGTTTTAGAATATTGGTCTGGTTTCTACATGGGTATCTTAATTCCATTCTTAGAAGTGGATCAATGCACTATAGGATGGAGGTAAATTGAGAGAGTATGCCAGTACATTAACACTCGTTGACATCAGTGGGAATAAAATCTCACAGCAGTGGTGGTTTAAATAGGTCTCTCTGGTGCCGCCTCAAATAGAGAGGCAATGCAGGCTTCTATTTGAAAGAGTGAAAAGCAACAGGATGTTGGGTAAATTGGTTTCCATGCATATTTTTGTAAACAGGAAATATGAGGCATTTGTCACCCTCTTATTGATTCATAAATCTGTATTTTTAGAATGCAAGTAAAGAGAAACATGATTTGCATCTGTCTGTCTCACAAGCCAAGAATTTTCTCTAATGTGAAACAGTCCTTTCTGCATTATCCTAAAAATGTAATGTGCATTTGAAGTTCTAACTTGTTTGTCTAATAGCCACCTAATTGCATTTCCCAGTCTGGCTCCTAACTAGGTCACTGAGTGGAAGCTGTGTGCAAAGTGCTATGGTGTCATGAGACACCGTGGTGCAGGGAAGAGAATATATTTGAATCGCAGCTTTGCCATTGATGCTGACCTTGAGCAGGTTAAATAATCTCCCTGAACCTAGAGTCATCTAAAAAGTACAGAAATGCCCATTTTAGAGAGATGTCAGACTAGGTTATCTGAAGACACAGCTTGAGACCGAAGTTGCTGTCTATATAGCTTCTTTGTGCATATGACCCCGGGGAACAGAACTGGGAATGCAATAGGAAAGGAGGGAAAGCTGGTAGAAGCATGAGATAACCGGATGTCCACCCATACAGACAACTGGTGCTCGGCCCTGCTAGGTGCTGGTAGTGATTCTCATTAAATGAGACTCAGAATGTTCACCTGCAAGACAAAAGGCAGCATCTCCATAAGGTCCCATGCCCCAGTAGTCAGAGGTGACCTCAACGCCTCTGCATTCCCGGTTGAACAGGTGTGAGTGCAGAGAGCACTGTGGGCACCAGCCTGGGATAGCAAACTTCGGGGCTGGCCCAAGACGTGCAAGAGTGAGCCGGGCAAGGTGGCTTCTGATTGGTCCCTGCATGAAGCCTCTTAAAGTGGGTATTAAAGTGGACACTTTATCAGTGGCCAAAGCAAAAGCTGGGAGTGAGGATTCTTGGCCAGTGGAAGTGCCCTATACAAGTTAATTGCAAAAATTAAATATAATAAACTACCTAACAGAGTGGCTGCAGTGGTGGCGAACCTGTGGCATGCATGTCACAGCAGGCTGTTTGTATCATTGAAAGCTCTAAAAGCTTCACCATCACTACCATAGACCCTCAGTAAATGGAAATTTTTACCAGCAGGGGAAACAAATGTCAACAAATTCAAGAGAATTTGATTTGCAGCTCAGCAGGGTGATAGACTTTAAACAGCTAATACTTGGCAGAATAAAGTTGATATTAAACTAATTGTGTCCTTCACTTCTTACATAAATGAGAATAGCAGACTCCAAAAAAGATTTTCATTTTATTCTAAGTAAAGGGAATGGGGAAAGTGGCAATAGTTATGTTAAAGCCAACTTTAGCACAGCTAATTTGAGTGATGAGAAAATAGTGTTGCCAAAATACAGAATATGAGATAAAAGCAGGATTCAAAAAAAATCATTGGTTCTGTTTGTTTTGGGCCTCTGCTGTCATTACAGGCCATCTCCCTGGTTCATCTCCTTCGTACCATCGGTGGGATCACTGCCTGCATTTCGGTGCATCGCAAACATATATCCCCAACCCAGATCCAAGTTCAGCATTTATGTTCAGTGGGGCATTTCTCAGGCACCGAAAGATCTGACCAGCCAACCTCCCTCCCTTCATTGTCCACCTGTAATCATCTTCCTTTTCACAGTGTCATGGAGATCATCATCTGTATGGCCGTCCAAGGAGTTTAGCATCCATTCTTTTCCCCTTCGTCTCCCTCATCCCACTCCAGTCTGGATTCATTGCCAATACCTACCCAGTCTACTCCTGAACAGTTCTCAGAAAACTCTCTTCATCCAGGCTCATTTATTTAGGATTCTAGAAGCTTCCCAGTAGGCCACACATCCTCAATCTTGTTTCAGGTTCTTCCTTTTCTCAAATCTGCTCAGTTATTCCATTCACTTTTTTTGTCTACCAACCACGAGCATTTTATACGATCTGAAGAACAGCTCATTTGATATGACAGGAAGGAAGACAACAAGCAGGCACGAGTGAATCAGGGCAGTAAGTCAGCAAGAGAGGTGATCATTTAAATGATGTAACAGGTGAGGTTACCCTTTCCCTGTATTTTCATTTCACTGCTTTTACTTTCCCTGAGCTTCTCTCACTTTGACCCTTCTTTCCTGTGTTACACTGATTCCACCTCAGGTAGCTTCTCCATCTTCAGTAACAGCCTCTCATTCATTTACAAATCAAATGCAGTGAAACAGTGACTCCAATAGTCACCTAATACTTCGGTGGGTGCTTTGCAATTCATCCACCCTCTTGCCTGTAAATTTGAAAAGCAGATTATTGAAAAGCAGAGTAGTGAAAATAGCTTGATATTCATATGAGAAAAGTCATGAGAACTATGAAATGGAGGGCTGGGTCTGTTGTGCCTTAGCACCTGATTTGTGACTGTCCCACATGTAGTAAACTGAGAATAATATCCTTCTCCCTCTGTCGACTTCACCAGAGGGTCTCTGCTGCTTCCCCAAGTTCAGATTAGAGAGCTGAATATCCCACAGGCTATCCCACACTGGAATAACCCAGACTATACTCAGGGGACTTTCTGACTCACTGGCCTCCTTCCTCCTTCCAACAGGGCTATCACTCACTGGCCCCCTTGCCTGTCATTACCCACATCCCAGTTGATGCCATTTTACTGTGTTCTGTGTGTACATGAATAAGCTGGCCTTCTTCCTGAGATCACTTCAGAGGAAAAGCTACCCCGTGAACTGGTTTCAGATGTTAAGTCAATTGCAATTTGCCACTGAAAAAAATGATTGGTACAATACAATTTACAGATTGTTGTAGTCTCTTTCCTCATCGCTGAGACATAAGACCCAACACCTGCAAGGTTAGAGGAGGCGATGTTTCTTTTGGCTCCCGTTTATAGTGCTTGATGGGCAGGCTATCAAGCAGGGTGGCATGGTAAAAGGGCGCAGCAGCGGAGGGGAGACGCTCAGGTTGTGGCAGATGGGAAGCAGAGAGAGAGTCAAGGGAGAAACAAGGGAAGAAGATAGACCTTTCAGGCCACGCCCCCAGGCCACCTGCGCCAACCAGGTTCCAGCTCTCATCATCACACTTAGCTGTAAACTCATCTGCAGGCTAATCTTTCGGGAGCCAGTCACCTTCAAAAGGCCCCACGAGGTTTTGGGGTGACATCTGGGTATAAACCATAGCACACACAGTGCAGAGGGGCTTCCTTCATGTTTAGGAAAAATTAGCTTTGTCCTCAAACTTTACATCTACTGTTTTGTTCAGTGTTAAAATCAGTGAGATTGTTCACACTTGAACTGGCAGCAGTTACACTGATAGCTGAAAACCATTTGACTCATTGTGTTTATGTCCGAGATTACCGCCCTTTTTTTCTCAGCAGGACAGAAAACTGTGTGATTGCTTTTGTGAATGAACTGATATTTGGGAAAATGATTTCTTTTCCTTGCTTCAACCAAATATTTTCTAGAAGTGAACATCCCCTTGCCCAGCTCTACTGCCATTCCATCATGGAGCACCACCACTTCGACCAGTGCCTGATGATTCTGAACAGCCCAGTAAGTACCTCATTGACTGTTGTGCAATATTCAAGGAGAGCGCTATAAATTCGGTTTTATTTTTAGGTTTGGGACTTATTCCCAGCATCATAAATTCTTGCACATACTCTATTCCTTTTTGGGTAGGGAAGGCGAAGCCAAAACATTTCAGATTCTCTCAGCCTCACTTCTTGAAACAACCAAAACTAAGTGGTGCCAATCAATCAGGGAACTTTAGTCATTCTGATTGGTTACTCCAGGTGACATTGGTATTTGGTGAGCTCTTGGTTAAGTATGCTTTTCTTCAATCAGTGAAGTGATTTATGCAGCTCATGGTTTGCTTTCACAAAGCAATGCTTTCCTCTTTAGTTTTTGTTTATTTTTGTTGCTATTGTTGTTGTTACTTTAAGTTTGTTTGCAGTACTGGCAAATTAGCCCAGGGCCTTGCACATGTTAGGCAAACAGTCTACTACTGAACTACACTCCCAGCTCTCTCTTATTGAAACTTCTCATCACAAACTTTCATTAAGGAATAAAGCTCTTTGACAACTTAGCTAAGTGGATATTTATCAGTGTACGGAAACTGACATGATATGGTATCATATGATATGTATGACATGACATGCTGGTATTGAGGAAAATAAGTTTAAAATAATATGTACCAGAATATTAACAATGGTTTTGTGTAGTGAAATTATTAATTCTTTTTATTATTGAGCGGGAGTTCACATTATTTGTTACATAGAATTATTACCTTATGGTAATAAAAATGAAAATCATTAACTATTACATTCAGTGAGTACAATATGTGGTAGGTAAGCCTAAAGCAATTTTATCAGCTTATCTTGAACTTTGCCTAGGAGGTGAGTTGTTCCCTGAGCGCGGGAAGAAAACTCAGGGAGTCACATGACTTTTTTTGGTCACTGCTTTATCAGTGAAAGCCCTTTAGTGATCTTAGTTTCCAATATATAGTATACCGTTCTCAGTTCAGAAACCAGAGTGTCCAGCCCTGGGTACTTGTTCAAAGTTAGAGCTTGATTTAAAAGTTACATGTTCTTGTTCCTTACATTGTGTTTCTTCTAACGCCATCCTCTCTTCCAAACCTCCCTATAGCTTCCCACCCCGCCAGACCTGGAGAATGTGAAGGGGAAATAGGTGAGGATAGGGGCCAGGCTAACTTGGCAGGCTGGTTCTGTTACCATCTCATCCCTTGTGCCTGGATGGGTGGCACCCCCTTGTGGGGCATCCCGAATAGGCACAGAGGGGCTAGGGAGCCTGTGCTTTGCCTTTTAAACTTCCCAGGCAGGGTCACCCTAGGCCCACCTCCGCCCAACAGACTGCAGCAGACGCTGGGACTTCGGGCCTCTTTCTGACTTAAAGTGAGGGGAGCACACTCACCACTCCCAGAACACCTCCCAGTGGCTGCTCTGGCAGCCTCGTGAGAAATGTTGCCAGTGCCCTGATACAGCCGCCCTCCGCGAGGTGGGTGTTTGGCATGAATTAGTAGCTGTGATAGGTAAGTAGAACCGTGATATCTATATGCTGTAGAAGTTTTATCATTCCATACAAATTGTCAGGGGAATGAGGTACCAGATTGGCAGGAGTTGGATTTTGACTTTTAGCAAAAAAGATAAAGAAAAAAAAGGAAAAGAAAGAAAAGAAAAGAAAAAAAGAAGAGAAAAGAAAAGAAAAGGAAGAGGAAAAGGAAAAGAAAAAAGAAAAAGCTTCACTTAACCTCTGCACACGTAGCTTTTTCTATTTTAAGAATAATAAAATTGGGCCCTTGCGGCCAGCCCCTTTCCCCCTTTACTGCTCTGGACTCTTAGTACTTGATCACCTTTACCGCAGCCCCACAGGCTCGGTGATCCGGTGTGTGTGTGTGTGCGCGCGCATGTGTGTGTAACACCCTGCAAGGCAGCCTGCAGAGCCAGCAGACAGAGGCAGCAACTGGTTATGGATCCAGTTTATGCTCTGGTTACAGAGTTGCATAATTTTGATGGGTCTATCCCAGCACTGTTTCCCCCATAAGCCCTGTTATTTTTAGCGTGGAGCTTTCCAAAGCTGAAACTTTGCAAAAATGTGTATGTTGTGTCATAGTAGAAGCGTCTGTACTTGCTTGGAATCTGCTATCAGTGTACTTCAGCTAAGACTTCTATTTTAATATCCTGTCACACATCCCTTTCAAAGCAAGAAAATATGCTAACCTTTTTAAAAAGCATATGTAATGATATTCCTATCCTGTGTCTGTGTGTATGTGATATTAAGGATTGAGCCCAGGGCTGCTGTATCACCAAAGTACATTCTCACTCCTTTTTATTTTTTCTTTTGACACAGAGTCTCACTAAGTTACCCAGGCTGGCCTCAAACTGGCAGTCCTCCTGTCTCAGGAAAGTAGCTTGGATTACAGAGGGGCATCACCACACCCAGTTACGGCTTATGTTTAGATGTCCCCCCAAAGTCTGATGCGGTCATAGGTGGGACTTTTTAGAGTTGACTGGTTCTAGAGTGTGTAATGCTAGAATTAATCCATGGTGCAGTGCTAGGATCAAGAGCACTAGGATTAAGGGTGTGAGTGCTACCTGCCCTAAGTATCTTGGATAAGATACAAGGGATAGAAAAAGCTGTGGTTGTCCCTTGCTTGCTTGCTCTGCTACCTTCTGCACACCGTGACCTATTTCTCCTCTGCCAATGCCTGTCCGCCATGCCACCCTGCCTTGGAGCCAGCCACTTATGGACTGAAATCTCTACAGACTGAGTTAAATACACCTTTCCTCCCTTAACTTGTGGGTGTTGGTATTTTGTTTCAGTAATGAGAGAAAAATAACTAAGACACCAACTTCATAGTTACTTCTTTAATGTAATATGTTTTTACTTAAACAAATCCAGTTCGGGGCTGGGGATTTAGCTCAGCAGCAAAGCTCCCGCCTGGCAAGCGCAAGGTCATGAGTTCAGTTCCCAGTACCGGAGAAAAAAACCAAAACAAACAAACAAACAAAAAAACCAAACAAACAAACAAATCCAGTTCTATGTATGGCTGGCTCACATGATTAGAGCTGTCTATATATTCTCTCTTTGTAAGCACAATTGTAGAAAAAATTTACCAACTTTGTATTTGGTTTTTTTGTTTGTTTGGTTTTTTTGCTGTTTTTTTTTCTTTCCGGTACCAGGAATCGAACCCATGACCTCACCCTTGCCAGGCAGGCGCTGTGCTGCTGAGCTAAATCCCCAGCCCGTCACCTTTGTATTTGGGAAGAAAAATAAGACTATAGCACCAAAAGACATACCATTTTGTTTGAAATTTTTTTATCTTAAAAGTATCAGAAGTTTTCTGAATAGTTTTCAATGGGCCTCAAATCTAAAATGATTTAATATTGTAAAATGGTTTTGGTTGTAATCACAGATTTTTGTCATTAATTAGGTCCACGCCAGAATTGCAGCATGGGGGTGACCCTCTCACCAGTGTGTTTTGGTCCCCACCCAGCACTCCCAGCGGTTCCCTCATCTTCACACTACATCCTTTGACCCTGGATCTTATTCCTAAGCCTCTGGGCTTTTTCTTGGCCCTGTGACTTATGAAACACATTTGACTCAATTTACAGATGTTCTGCATATACGCTCAGTGCCCAGCTGTGTGTTTCACTTAGTTCAACATTAGAGACCTTTTCTGCTTTAAATTATAGGCAAGAAATAAAAAGTGATGCTGTGGGGAAAACTTTCAGTGATGTACACACGGATCAGCCTCCTTTCCCGAATTCCATGTGGATGGTTCAGCCCATGCTTGCATTCTTTTTTAATTTTTATTTTATTGGTACATTTTAGATATACACATCATCATAGGGAATTTGTACCTATATGTGACATATCTTGCTCCTTCTTTTTTCCCCTTCCTCTCCCCTCCCTTCAACTCTTCTTCCCCTTCTTATTTACAAAGCTTCGTTTCCATTTTTTCCTTCTTTTTTTTCTTGTCCCTTCCTTTCCCCTCCCCGTGCCTTGTTCTCCTTCCCGTTTGAATATTTTCTTCCCATTTCCCAATATCTGTTACACGTTGGTCCTTATTTACACTTTCAGTTTCTCACACCAGAAACACCATGCGATATTGGAGTCTGTGTGTCTGATTTGTTTCACCTGACGGTATCGTCTCCATGCTCTTACACCACCTGCCATCTATATTTTTATATCCCAAAGGAACACATATGGTTCTCAGTGTTCATTAAGACCTATAAATTTGCACCAGAATTGTTACGGGGTTTATTACAAAAGCCATATGGTGACTTTATAGTAGTCAATTATTTAAAAATTTCACAGTGCTGTTCTTTACATCTATCAATATGGCTTTGATTTTCCAAAGTTTTTCCTGCTCTAAGATGATAGGAATTAGTCTTCCCAAAGGGAAAGGATATGAAGCTGTTAGATTTTATGTCTGGATAAGGCTTGAGGAGTAGAAGAGTTGGACAATCGTGCATATGCAGGCAGATACGAAGCTGTCTTTTTTCTCTTAGATGACAGGATGTGGAGTGAGCATGTGGTGGAACTACTGACTTGGCTTCATGGTGTGGAAGGAAGCAAGCACATTCATGAGGGCAGAATATTAGGCGTGTGTTTAGGACATGCGATTATATTTCCAGTTTGTTCTTGTCAGCAGCTTCTCTGCGTGGAGTGCTAACGATGGTTTTCTTTCTTTCCTTCTTTCTTTTTTTAATAAAGGGCAATCAGATTCTCAGTGGCCTCTCCATTGAAGAATATAAGACCACCCTGAAAATAATCAAGCAAGCTATTTTAGCTACAGACCTAGCACTGTACATAAAGTAAGTTTTAAGAAATACCCTCCAAAATAAGTCTTGGAAGTATTCGTGCTGTTCAGGCTTGTAACATCCACACTGGGAGGTCCTCATCACAAAGACAGGCGTCCTGACAAAGCTGTGTATTGGTCTGTGGAGCAGCCAGGGAAGTCTGCTCCTTTGGCTTAGTTACTGCTCAGAAATACAGAAAACATAGTTACTAATATTTATCTACTCCTCTGTGTCTGCAGCTGTGCTCACATCAAATCTCAAGCTCTTTCCCACCAGTGAGGCCAGTCAAAGGGGATACAACCCGTTTGCTCTTGCTCCTTTCCCTCGCTCCCCCAACTTCTGTCCGTCTCCCAACATCTTTACACTGGCATCACAGCCAGGTGGGCGGTTACAGAAGCCAAGTGCTGGAAGAAGCAATTCTTGTTCCTTTTTATTTGATTTTGGCAGAACAATAATATAGAAATTTGAGGTGACTAGTTCTAAAGTAGGACTGTATTTAAAATGGCATTGACTATTTAAGACTATCTATTCCCATGATTAAACTACTTTTCTAAAAGCTAGAAAATACTTTCCTGCATGTGGACAATCAGAGAAAATACTTTAATGCATGTGTGGGTATTCTGGAAGCCAAGAGTCACACTCACAGTATATCCGTGTAACACAGGTCTGTCCCACCCGCCAATAGAACGATTCCCAGCCATGGTTTTAGCCCCTCTTAAGAAAAGCAAAAAACAATAGAACAAATACAAAAAAACTTACATCAGAAATCTACATTTATATGTTGAAAAATGTGTGTGATGGCTTTGTTGAGTGTTGGAGCACTTTAAGTTTAATTAAAACAAAAACAGTAAACTACAGTTTATTCAAAATAATTACAGAATAACGATTATCAGATTACCGAGAATTTGAAAATATCTGTAATCACAACACCTTCCCAGTCTTTCCGGGTCCCAGGGGTCTGTCCTCCAATCCTGTATGAAGCTTGCTGGTCATGTTTGATATTCAGCAGTAGACAGTTTTATTATATAAGGTTTGTTTTTCCTTGAGGTTTTGTCTCTGGCTGGACGTGAAAAGAATAACTTTATGACTTCTCAAAACAATGTTTTGGACACATAGGAAGTATTTACTATACACTGAGTATTATATTCACTGAATAATAATAATGATATTTTAAATTTAACTGTGTTTCTTTACTTCAGTTCACTGCATAACCTTATTGTCCTGTTTACCCTGTGCCAGAATATACATGAATAAGATGTGTGATGCTAAGCTGAAGCCTGTAGCTCATATTGTGCCATGAACTTAAAATATTTTAAATCATTTGAAATCACATTTATAACTGTTTCTAATTAAAAATATTCCAAATTTGAAGTTACCATTATTTGTGTTCTATAATTAAAATTATGAGACGTTTCATGCTCTACCCAAAGCACTGAGAAGAGGAAAAGGTGTGAAATATTTTTAAATGATGGCTTTTCTACTGGGTTCTAAAATGAGGGAAAATATACAGATGGGAAAAAATTAGAGGTTTTTTTTTAATAACTTACTCCATGAGTCTTGTAGACCAAAGGAATAAAAACCTGTGGGTGCATCATAATTACCAAATATTTTTTCTTTATTTTCAAGGAGACGAGGAGAATTTTTTGAACTTATAAGAAAAAATCAATTCAATTTGGAAGATCCTCATCAAAAGGAATTATTTTTGTAAGTCAGTTTACTATCCTTACAAGTTAACTACTGCAGGTTATAAATTAACTGCTACTCGGTTAATTTTTTCACTGCCAGGTTTTATTGCAGTTGTTTGTTACAACGTGATCATCTGTGAGGCTCTCAGATTTCTCTAGCATATTGTACAAAGGACTGAATATGAACATACACTTGAAAAGAAATGCATCTGTGAATGCAAGTGAATAAATGGTTCCTTTGTTCTAGAGGGGCCTCTCAGTGTAGTAGAGTAGTACAGTACCGATTCAGAGCTGTACGTGGAATGGAGGAGCCAAAGGCGGCTGATAGATGGCTGGAGCAGAAAGCTGGCTCACGGGGCTCACTGCCCTCAAAGGATGATGAGGTAGCTTGGTCAGAACAGGGAACATCAAGTCCTCTGCTTTTCCTCATCAGTACACCTGCCTCCTCCTTCTAGTTCTTTGCTGTCATCGTTACTGCCTTGCCCACAGCAAGAACTAAGAGTGAATAATAAAGAAAAGCAAGCAGCCGAGTGTGCTGGTGCACACCTGGGATCCCGCACTGGCAGGCTGAGGCAGAAGGATCATCGTGAGTTTGAGGCCAGCCTAGGTGATTTAAGGAAACCCTGTCTCAAAATTTAAAAACAGGAAGGAAGGGAGGGAGGGAGGGATAAACTAACAATAGCGCTGATACAGTTTTGAAATCAACCTTTCCTTAAACAGACTGAGATTATTTAGCATGCAAAGGAAGATGCAAATTACAAGGAAACAATACACAAATAGCCAGCTGTGTGTTCCAGATAGTTACACATCACTTAATAGCCTCAGGGTGTTTTTCCGAATGGAAAAGTGCGGACGTGCTACTGCAATTAGTGAACAGTTTTTCTCACTAATTAAAAAGAAACATGAACTCCAAGAGGGCCAGTTTTCCCTGCTGTGCTCGTCTAAGGTTACTAGACTTCACCCCGCAGAAGTGTCTGGCAGACCTAGCACCCAGCATCCCGGCCGGCCCTTTCATTTTGGGATTTAGTTAAGCTCATTTAGCTGCACAGCCCTCCTCTTCCTCACAAGAGGCACAGTTTGTATTGGCAAGTATTATTCAAATCCCCCATCACAGAGCACCTCATTAGCACACCAGGAATGCTGCAGCTGGCACACCCCTAACCAGGGAAGGGCTGACAGCATTTTCTCATTTCTGCCTTTCTCTGGTGGAGAAAAGGGAAGCGTCTCCAGCACATACTTTAATCATGCAAAGGCTTTTCATGTAGAACATACTACACGTTGTGAGTTAGGATGACCCACTGTGATTTCTGATTCAGGACTTCTGTCAGTAAGCTGATGGTATCCCCTGGTAGCTAATTATTAATAATCACAGTGCTGTCATCATAGTGCCACTGAGAACAGCTACCACACTGAAAGAAATAATAGCAGGCAAGTTTTTATGCAAAGGTTAATAATTTCTCTTTGTGCCAAGCTGGAGCTCAGTGAAGCACTTTGAGGGCAACTTTGAAGAGCTCACAGAGAACCAGAACAACGACACACTGTTGTCACTTCTGTGTAAATTCTGTCTGTTCCTTTGGCCTTCATAAACTGCTCTTCCTAATGGTTCGGAGGGTTCTAATTTTGTGTTTTTATTAGTGATGCTTTACTTTCGTATATTCATGTAAACAGAAGTTTTGGGTTTCCTTTTCCTCTAACAGAGCCATGTTGATGACAGCCTGTGATCTTTCTGCAATTACAAAACCTTGGCCTATTCAACAACGGGTATGTTGCTTAGTGATGATAAATGTAATAACTAAATAGCTAAAATAAGAAAAGTCTTTGCACTTACAACTAGCTTCTGCAGTAAGTATTTATGGAATTTTCCCCTAATTTTAAGGACTGTTAAAAGCAGAGAGTAAGGCATAAAATAGCTTTCCTTTCTAGAATATTCATTTGCACTGAATACCTGTCTGATACGCTAAGAAAGAGAACAAATATTAACAGGCAAAAGACCTAGCTGTTGTAAGTTTCAATTTCAGTACTGTTCTGGTTCACTTTGGGAGGTTTTCTTAGCATAGCCCTTTAATCTTGAAAATAAAAGTGCAAGAAAATTTTCAAAGAGAGAAAAGAGGAGACCTTGTAGATTAAAAGAAATTTAAAAGGCCAGTTGCAATGAATGTACTTGTTTGATGCTGTTTTTTCACTGAACCTTTTATTAACAGGTGCTTCACAAATAATTCACTGATTACACATGCAGATGGGCACACAGTTTCTCCCCTAATTGGTAGAGTTGAAATAACATGTTGCTTTTTTATGCTTAGTTACACAAGATTACAAACTCTGGTTTTATTATTAGTCGTTTAATACATTACTTAGACATTTAAAACCAATGAAGTATAATTTCCTCTACTCATTACAGCTTTATTCTAATTTTATTGATGTGGTTGCAAACTATAGCACTTAACAGATTTTATTATCTTCTTTACAAACATGTGCTTTAAAGAGTGTTAAGCTTTTCCTTTCCCAAACTCAGTCTGCTGTTTATTTCAGATAGCAGAACTTGTAGCAACTGAGTTTTTTGATCAAGGAGACAGAGAGAGAAAAGAACTCAACATAGAGCCCACTGTAAGTATGAGACCTTGTTGGTGGGAACTACCCAAATAAACTTTTTTAAACTGTACTCTATTTTATAATTCTATGGGAACTCTTCTTGGTCATGCAATTTATTTTATTTTTGAACATTTTCTCTTATTAGAACAACTATACATGTTCACTGTGGAAACCAAATGCAAATAAGAGGCCAAAAAGGCCCCCGAAGTCATCATATTATGCCACACTTTTAGATTCTGCATTTTACATTTAGATACCAGAAGACATCCTAATGGATGCTCTTCTGTGTGCTATTTATCACAGTTACTTGAAATAAATGTAGCCATAACTTATCCACTTCTTCAGGTGTAATGATGTTAGCCATATTCACTGTGACAAACAGCACAATGAGAAACATCACTGTTGGTAAAGTTGTTTTTTTTTTTTCTGGTACCAGGAACTGAACTCATGACCTCACACCTGCCAGGCAGGCGCTGTGCCACTGAGCTAAATCCCCAACCCCTATTGCTAAAGTTTTTTGTGCTGTTTTTCTATTGCCTTTTTAGGGTAAATTTCCAGAAGGAATTTGAAGTTATTTCATGCATACTCCTTTTTACATAAAAAGTAGCTTCCCAAATACTAGAAAAAAGACTCTTCTCAAACCACTTCTGTCTTTTAAAAATGAAACAGGGTTCTTCTTCCTTTCGTGGGGGAGAGCACAGGAGATGCACGTAGGCAACTGCTGTCTGACCTTTCTGAGCTAACCTGTTATCTCACCTTTTTATTTTTTATATGTATTAATACATGTTTGCTGTACATAATGATTGCACTCATCATGGGGAATTGGTACATATACATAACGGATCTTAATTCTACTCATTTCCCTGTCCCTGCAGCTCCAACATCCCCGTCTCTAATTTCCTTTCCCATTAGAGAATCTATGTCCCTATCTTTTTTGAACCAATCTTCATTGTTCTTTAAGTAAATATACATGTGCTTGTGTGTGTCTTTGTTTACGATTTCAGGATCTAATGAACAGAGAGAAGAAAAACAAAATCCCAAGTATGCAAGTTGGGTTCATAGACGCCATCTGCTTGCAACTGTATGAGGTATTCATATGAAAACTCACTAAACTTAGATCGTGCTAGGAAGTAAAACCCGAAGCAAATTCAAGAGATTAAACAACTAGTTTCATGTTTTACCTCTTCTCGGCCTTTTGGCTAAGATCAAGTGTAGTTCTGTGTTTTTTTGCTTCTAAATCAAGAAAAAAATAAAATTATTATAGTGGTTTTTTTCCTGATGGACATGTTTTCATTGAACAAGAAGCATATTTATACAACGGTACTTTGGTTCATGAGCTCAATTCTCCCCACGATGCTAGCTGTAAACTAAACTGGACAAGAACTGAATTAAATTTCCCCCAGAAGGTGAACGTGGAACCTAACCACTGAATTTCATTCGGTTCTCATCCAACTCAGTTTGCAACTAGATTCATGGAAGAATCAAGTTTATGAAACAAGGTACCATTGCATTTTCTGTTTCTTGAAGACTTTAATTCATTTGATGTCTGGATATCTACTGAGTGCCTACTATGTGCTGAGTACTAACACACTGATTTAGAAAAGCTGAGAACTATGTGTTCTGCTCTCAGGGAGGTGTGTTGTGCAGATTCTCCATTAGCATTCTCCGCTTTAAGTTTAAATTTTAGTCTAAATAAAGACAAAGAATTATCCAACCTTTTCTCACTGTCATACTGTGGATGTAATATCAACAGAATATTTTGAGAACTAACAGGAAGTGGCTGTAAGGCTCCCATTTTCGTACTTCTGATAGCTTTATTTCTTGGGGTTTGGTTTTGTTCTGTTTTGTTCAAGTGTAAAGATTCTCCCTAGAATATCCAGTTTACCATTTTAGATGCGTAAGCCCAAGCACAAGAGGCAGCTACTGCCTTTGTCTGTAAAAGCTCAAACTGGCACCGGGGTGCAGCTCAGTGACACTGCAGAGTGCTTGCCGAGCTGCGTGCGGCTCTGCCTTGCAGTCACAGAGAGCGAAAACAGGAAACGATTTTTATTAATTTGGAAAAGAACATTTATCATGGAGACATCATGGAATGTCAAAACCAGAAAAAACCTAGAATTTTCTAATTCAGATATTACATAGATTCAGTAATTGAATTTGTTAAGTTCATCCTCCAAGGAAACAGCGTTTGCCCCATACAACAGGTAGGCAGTGTGCAAATTGCAGCCAGAGTCCAGTCCTCACCCTGTCCCCGAGTTCTAGCCACCAGGAGAAATTCATAAAGAAGCTGTGGTTGTGGAGGAAAAGGAAGAAGAGCCAAAGGCGAGGGGCACCGAAAGAAACAAGGAAAAAGGCTGCAGGGTGCTAACAGCTCAGCAGCACTGGCTCCCACCGTTCGCCAGGCTCTTCCTCAGAAGGGTTGGGAGCCCTGTTCCAAGCCCCCTGGCCCACCTCATTCTTTGCATAGCAGATGCTTTCCAGGCTGGATAGAGCTCCTCAGCTGAAAATACTAAAGGCCCTTTATTTTTCCCATCTCTGTAAGGGCCTGCAAGTAGTAATCAGATCCCCCATTATAGATTTTATCCTTCTATGTTTTATATATATATGCAAGGATTCATTCCATTTGAATTTGTTGAACATCCTGTGACACCGGTGTGTATTTTTAGTGTTATCACAGAAGTAAATGTTCTCCTTGTAGAAAAACCAGACAGTAATGAGAAACAGAAAGATAAAATCAATTATGAATTAACCTTTATTATGATCTTGGATGAAAACCTGAGTACACTGTAGGAAGCCAGTCTGTACAGAAACACAAAAACTCAGCAGCTCTCTGCAATCACACACAGGGAGAGCCCCGTATGCTACACAGAAACAAATGCATTGTTCCCTGAAAAGCACATTCCACACAGAGCTGTCTGCAAGGTTCCGTGATGTTGCTTTGCAATATGTGCGCTTGCCCTATCTCTCAGTGTCCTCCTTATTTATACAACTTAAGAAGAATCCTCAGGAGTGAGCTTTGTATGTGTTCACACAGCTTGCAAAAACCCCAGCAGGGGGCCTGCTGGTGAAAGAGTGTGGAATGTGGCCCTTAGGCACCGGCCTGTGGGAGAGGGCATATTTCCCGGCTTCCCTCTAGTCCTTTCTTTTTCTTGCTCTAGGCCCTGACCCACGTATCAGAGGACTGCAGGCCTTTGCTAGATGGCTGCAGGAAGAACAGGCAGAAATGGCAGGCCCTCGCAGAGCAGCAGGAGAAGACCATGGTGAATGGGGAGAACAGCCAGGCCAAGCGGAACTGAGCTGTCTGCTCCCCGCGGAGTTGGAGTTTACAGAGACCGTGTGTCTGCAGTACGCCTGGTTTCACTGGGCGCCATTTAGATTGGGTGTATACTTTGCCACTGCTGTATTTTTATTTTTGCACAACTTTTGAGAGCATAGCATGAATGTTGTTAGTGGTCAATTACATTTTTTTCTGTACATTTGTTATACGCCACTAAAGTGATTACCGACACCCACCCGTACTTCACACGTTGATCAGAGCACTGTGGTATTTTGTGTACTACCAAGTGTAAGTGGTGTTCTTGCACTGAGGTGGTTTTGTGATTGGGAATTATACGCAACTGGTTTTTGTGTTTCCTGAGGTACCGATCTTTCAACGTTTGGAGTCTTTTCTGAAAGTGGGTTAGGAGAAAATTAAATACATTCTGGGACACTGAAAGCCATCATAGAATGGACTAAATATCAGCTGAGAGGATTTTAAAGAGAAAAGAATACATTTGGTGAAAATACTTTAAATTTAAGACACTGAAAACCACATGGCAAGTACTATGAGACAGTATTGTAAGGAAAACATAGTATATAATTGATTTGCTATTTTTGAAAGAACAGGCAGGAGAGAACACTCATTTCAGTGCAGTCTGTCTGCCCCACACCGGGCCGCAAGACAGTCCAGTCTCCGCTACCTGACGGTAAGCAGGGGAAAGCAGAAGATGCAGTCACTGACTTCCTGAGGATGACTGTGATCCCGAAGTGCAGTGGCCTGGGCGCCGTCAGCCGGGAGAAGCGTTCCACTGGAAGATCCTTCTGCGAATCGGTGTTTTGGAGGCGAGTGAGAAACTGCCATATTTTGTTTTATAGCAGTGATAGTGAACCTTTTAGAGTTTTCATGCTGTAGGTTTACCATCACTGGTTTATAGGATGAATCAAGCCAAAATCAAAGAATTTTGGTGTGTAACCTAAAATACTGAATTTTAGCTCACGGTCTGTGGAATTTCCTTCCCACAGCTTTTAGTAGTTTACATTTTCTTGGGATTTGAACACACTGGTGTCCCTGAAGTCACTTTGGAGAAGCAGAGAGTGAACTGAGCAGCTAGTTTAAAAAGGAAAGCATCGCAAATATGAAGAAGTGCTGGGATTTGGGGACAGTAGGAGGAGAGATTTGACTTGTTAGTTTCCACCCTCATCCCTTCAGGAAAGAGTGGTATTTGAACTGATTTTCAGTTACTAATTTGGATAGAAAATCTCTAATGCAGCAGTCTCAAAGACCTTTCTCTAAAATGTGCTTTTTCATTTGTGTTTTTCCCTTTAATCTTGCCTAAAATATAACACATTTAAAATTCTGACGTGCACGTATATTTTGAAGTTATATGGCTTTATTTTCATCAATTAGGTACCCCCAAAAACCACATTGTATTTCTGTTAGTTTGTCTTGGTAAAGGCTAAGCTAAAAAGTTATCAACTAACACTATGTGTGTTACTATAATAGTTGTATTTGTAGAAAGTTGTGTTATTTTTTATTTCACATCATACAGATCAAATCTGTAGGGCTGCTTCTTGGTGGCACTGGTGTGTAAATTACAGAGACTCAATAAAATAACAGCCGCATCCACATACTGGTACACATCTGTGCATGCACACATGATTCCTTAGTATAGATAAACAGTTTAAAGATTAGCAGTGTTGAATGAAGCTATCTTTTTATCACACACATTGTGATTTAGCAGTTATACTAAAATATATATTCATATACTTCAGTAGTTTTTTTAGACCCCTCTGATGCTTTTCATGGAGAATTTTTAAAAGATGTGGTAAATACAGTGCAGAGGATGTGGACACATGTCATTTTAACAAGCAAGAAGACATAGTTAGATTAGAAATTGTTTGGTTTACCTTTAGATAATGGTTTACTTTACTTCACTATTTGAGGCATTAAAGGAAGTGAAGCACTGCCATGCCTATTTTTTTGATATTTTACTTCCTATAGAAGAGAATACTTCTTTAGGACTGGTTAATTAATTCAAATAATTTTTAATTTGTAAGAAGATCATTCCATACATGGATTACCATCCGTGGTATCTGGGCACAAAGCAAAATTTTTGTACTTATGTATTTCTTTGCCAGTATCTTCCCAAGTTGGAAAAAAAATACATATAGGACTTCCTCACCCTACCCTATATTTATATTACCCACAACTAGGAAGAAGTTATTCTTGTTCTATATTGTTTGTTTTCTGTTTGTTTGGTTGGTTTATGGTTGGCTGGATGTTTGATTTTAGCAGAGTAACAGGGTGTATTTAATTTCAATTTTCAGCCAAAAAAGTCCCCACTATTTTACTAACTTGTTGAAAGATGTCTTTAAGCTTGCATGGTCTTACATTTTTCAGAGGGTTGGCCTTTGCCGGTCACAGTCCTGTGTGTAAGTCACTTAACCTCCGTGAGCCTGAACTAATTGTGCTTTTTAAAGTAGTTAGGTTTGGGCAAAGCCTGTCTTGGGGCCAGTGGGGTGGGTGGTGGTTGGCAGCTACTTTGAAAGCCCCAGTGAGCCTTGGACACCACTGTCCGAAGTGGGCTATCGGGTGCAAGAGACGTGATGTAATCCCATAGGTCACTTCTTATGCTGCATTTTCAAGACTGACAAAGCAAAGGCAGAATACATTTATTCACCTCTGGGTGCAGATCATGATCAATATGAGATTTTTGAGCTATTTGAATGCTTTGCCTCAGATACAAACCCAGGATGATGAGGTTGTCACCACTGATTGCTTATTTATGAAGAACAGTCTCCTTTACTAGCAGCATTGGAGATAAGAAAGTACTGTATATGAAAATGTACTGGAAATATTGGATTCTTAGAAGAAACTGATCACTGATTCTTGCCTAGCAATGAAGTGCCTTTATTTTCAGGATAAGGACAATTTGATTTTCAATTTTCCTTTGTTTTTCACCAGATTGTACTTTGTACTCCTAAATCTTATCAGGCCATCAGAAACAATGTGGTAAATACAGTGGATTTCAGATGAAAGGGGGGAAGTTTAATTGCTACCCTTCCTGTAAACATAGTTAAGATAAAATGACACAGTTTAATTGTTCAGTATTAGACACCCATCATCCCACCTTTTATTGAATCCTTGCCACACATGAGGTACCGTGCCTGTCTGTGGAGACAGAACACTTACCACAAAGAACTCACCGGCTGTGCAAGCAGTGCCAGATAAAAGGTTTAACGGTTTCTGATCTTGCAAAGTGAACATGAAAACATAGGGTGTATTCTGTCACTTTCATTTTCATCTGTAACGTATGTACTGTGCACCTTTCACTAAGAATCTGTCGGTGGGCATCCTGTCTTGTGAGTGTGAACCACTTTAACCTACTGATAGCTTAAAGAGCACCTTATGTAAGGAGTCATATATTCCATTGTTTTTCCATATACAGGCCAAATAGTGATAACTCAGAGTTCTCATGGACTATAAAACTGTGCAGTTTTGGGACCCCTTCTGCTCTTCCACAGGGAGCGAAGAAGAAAGTATTAAAGCTCACTTCACCCGTATACCTACCAAAACCCTGTGTAAGCATGTCTTAATGAATGTTGTTGAAAGCAATGTAAATAGTTGAAAATATAAATTTCTATTACACTTGAAGATATAAACTTTATGAATCATCACTAGCCACTGTTAATATCTATTTGTATTCTTCTTATACCTTTTCAATATTTGAACAAATATATAGTTTCTGGCACTATTTTTATACTAGGATAATGGCATTACTGTGTATATTATGTTTAGCTTTGAAGTCGTTTGAAATAATTGTGCTCTTGGTTTCTTTCTTTCCTGTCCCCGCCCTGGGAACCCTTTCAGCTTGACCCTTGTGTGACGGAATCATTTTGCAGGAACCCTTGCTCCCCGCTGGTCCCTGTGAAGTCCTGGGACAGGCAGGGTGGTTCTCCATTGTGCAAACCCCGCCCTATTCAGTTGTCTCCTCGTTTTGCCATGCTTTGTAAGAATAAAAAGAATGAATAAGTAGCTATGAATGCCGTGTGATTATTAGGGAACTTGTATTTTAAGGGTAGAAACTGAGCAGGGACTTTGGATGATAGGCTGGGAAAATGGGCCCAGTAGTTCAAGACACTTCAGTCAAGCTCCCCTATGGTCCTATTAGTACAGAAAATTGGTTTCATAAAAACCTTGCCTTCACCTAGACCTGTCTCAGTAATCCTTGTCTTAGTGCCCTTTGCCACCAAACCGAGGGCAAAGTTTTCCGCCTGCTTTCATGCTTCAAGTCCAGAGCAGCTCTGCAGGGTGTGGTTCTCACCAGCCTTATGCTGAGTGGGGATCAAAGGCCAGAGCTGTATAGTTTCAAAACAGGTGTACTTAGCTGTTGTTTTCAATTTTAAATTTTAAAGTTCCCATGACCATTCCTACTGAGTCTAGAAAAGCTACCCAAAAAGTATTAGAGACAATATTTCCCTCTCCCAGCAGGCTTTTTTTTTTTTTTTTTGTACCAGGAATCAAACTCATGACCTCGGGCTTGCCAGGCAGGCGCTGTGCCACTGAGCTATATCCCTGGCCAGGGTTTGTTTTATTTGGGTTTTATGGTTAAATTCCTTAATTTAGTTCATCTGTCTCTGGGTCTCAAGGGTAAAAGCATAGAGGTGTGATTAAATGCAGAATTTCTGAGTTCATTACTTTGCCACCAGATAATCCCTCTCCATGTGGGGGAGAATAGCTAGGTTACACCTGTGTACAAAGCTGGAGGGAAAAGTAAAATACAAATTCACATACAGGAATATTTTAGATTTTCTGACCACTAGAGAGCGCCGGAGCTTTAGTTGTATTTAGAAAATTAATTTTCCTTACTGGCCATAAAGACTTAATAAAAACTTTTTCATAAGATTTTTGGGAGCCAAAGAGAATAAATTGGAGAAAATCATTAGGAAATTTGAAGTAAGATTTAAAGCAGGGAAAATAAACTACTTTATACAATTGTCAAGCCTTGCTTATTGCCATTTGTCCAGTGATCATGTCCTCGGGATTTTCTCCAAGCAAATGATGCGCACATATGAAGTCTCTCTCATGCTCAGTATTCCAGCCGCAGAAAATCAACCCTTCTGACAGAAAGGAGAGGCATCGGGCAGCTCCCCAGGGCCCCCGTGCACGCTATCAGCTGTGCTGCCTCTTGGCAAGCTGGGCTCCCGCTATGGGATACAGGGAAATGTCGGGATGTGATTTTTTTACTTTTAAGAAACATAACACAGAATTATGGATAAACTTCAGAATTGCAGAGGATATTCATTATGATTTTAAGCTACATTCAGCATAAAGCTCAGGAATTAAAAAAAAACAAAAAAAAAAAAACTTGTTTCCAGTTCACAAACCATGTGTTCAAAATAAAAAACAAGAGTTGTGAAATGGAATTAACATCATAATTATTTGGATCAAAAGAAATTTGATTAAATAACCTGCTTGCTTTCTCTTTCTGGATGATCTTATGTTAATCTTCTGTGTGTATGTGTGCAGACGTGTACATACACACCTGTGCAAACGTTTGTGATAAGCCTGAAGGGTGGTAAATTGGCTCTTTTGGTTATCTAGCACCAAGCCCACCCAATGGCACAATTTAAGATTCCTCTTTCTAAACTAGAACCTGAGAGACAAGTTACCTTGGTTTAAAAAAAAAAAGCAATAAATCATCATGAGAGCTTGATCAGTTATCTTAGGAGCTGTGTGTTGCATTTTCACCTCCTATCACTGTCTGCACTGAACCACCAGGAGTATTCGTAGGCTCTATATGACCCCAGTCAGCACATTCCTGTAAGAAAAAGTTTCTCCAGGCCAGGCATGGTGGTGCATGCCTGTAATCCCAGCACTCGGGAGGCTGAGGCAGGAGGATCTTTGTGAGTTCAAGACCAGCCTGGGCTACAAAGTGAGCTCAAGGCCAGCCTGAACTTCATGGTGAGCTCAAAAAGACAAAAAAAAAAAGCAAGAAAGAAACAAGTTTCTCCTTTACCAGACTGGAAGTCAAGAGTGTTCAGGGCTCAGTGATCTACCTGGAGCAAGAAGGGAAGGTGGAAAACATGATCAACAGCAGTTCTGCCTTGGTTTCACCTGCTCTGTCCCTCCAGAAAAGCCAGTGGGAAGAGCTTCAGGAGTCACAGTGAGCTTATTAAAGTGCATGACACACTCCTTGGGGGATGAAGTCAGGACCCCCGTCTTATGCTTCTTGTAACCTGTGCTCTTCTTTTCCTAATCCTGTTCCTAGGCCCTCAAACAAATTCTTTCACTGTGATTTGGTTTGAGTTTTTTTTCTTTTTCTTTTTTTGTTTTGTTTTGTTTTTGTTTTTGTTTTGCAGTACTGACTACTGAACCCAGGGCCTTAGTGCTGAGCTACATCTCCAGCCCTTCTTTGATTTTTTATTTTAAGACAAGGTCTCACCAAGTCACTAAGCTGCCCATGCTGGGCTTGAACTTGATCCTCCTGCCTCAGCTTCCCAAAGTGCTGGGATTATCTGTGGGTTACCATGCCTGGCTCCTACAAATACATTTGATTCTTCTGACCCAGAGAAGACCTATCTAGACCACTAAGCCCTCCTGGGTACCAATACCTCTCTGTATTGTTTCTGGTACTTTGAAAGTAAGCAACAAATATTTACTGAGTGAAAAAAAATATATCTTTTCTCACAACATGAAATTGAATATTTTATAAATAAATAACAAGGTAATTCTAATGGTAGACAATAGAAAATCAGTACAGCAGGGTTTTTTTTTTTTAGAAATTCTCAGTTTAACATATAAGTTATAACAACCAAATATAACAGGTAAATTTTTCATCTTATAAAGTATAAGATGAAAAATGAATTTCAATAATAAAACAATTTTCTTTTTCCTTCTTTTTGATTTTCTTTCTGGTTTTGTGAGACAGGGTCTCATTCAGGCTGGCCTTGAACTCATTATGTAGCTGAGGCTGGCCTCGAACTCACAGTGATCCTCCTGCCTTAGCCTCCCAAGTGCATGCACCACCATTCCTGGCAACAATTTTCTAAAACAACATATTTCTTTTTCTTCTGTGAAAAACAAGTTAGTTGCCAGGCTTTTGTAATAAACTGATAATCATCATGGAGTTATTTCTGGTAAGGGTTTTTGTTGCCAGGCTCCAAGGAAAATTCAGAAAGGCAAGAAACCAACGAGCTTGTAGAAGAAATTAGATTTATACTTTAAAAAAAAAAAAAAAGCAAAGAAGTCAAGCGAAGATGATGATTCATGGTTAGTTGGCGGTGGCAAATGCTGAACTGAACAGACGTGGTCTCCTGCACACTCAGACAGGTGGACAAGCACCTCTATGCACAGAGCACGGAGAGTGGAGGGTCTTAATTCTGACGTGAGGGTCACAATCTGCTTCCTTCAGGATGCGACCAAGTAAAAAAAGAGGAGTACTCCAGGCAGATAAAGCACCAGGCAGGGAGCTGTAAACACGGCAGCCTGGAGAACTTGAAAGTTTGTCCCACTGCTTGTTTAAAGACTTCTGAATTGTTATATTTATGTGTTATATTAATGACATATTTATAAAGTCAAAGTATGAAGCTTAAATACTCAGAAATGTATAAAATAAAGAAAATGTCCTTTAAAGGCATATTTGAGCTGTTAAGGGAAAGTACTGGAGGCCAAAACAAAAGTAATTCAGAATGTAAGTGATAGTATGTGAGCTAATAGTACATGGGGCCTGGGAATATTCACACATCTGTGTCATAAAGAAGTTTCTATGTCCCCCAGGCCAGAAACAAAGCACTGGGGATGGCCTTCCAGTTCAGGCTGAAACCTCTGAAGACCTGTGCCCTGGATGAACTCAGCGTGGGAGGGGAGGAGAAGCCACTCAGATTCACGAGAGAACATGGAGGAAATGTATGGGCCGTAACCTGGACGCTCGTTAGACTGATATGGGTATGGCTATAGATAGTGAGAGATAGAGACAGACATCAATCAGTCATTAAGCACATCCTCACATCCATGCACATTTAGAGTTCGAATGTGGAAGAACACACCTACAAACATTCTGATCCGATTTCCACAGACATCAATCAGTCATTAAGCACATCCTCACATCCATGCACATTTAGAGTTCGAATGTGGAAGAACACACCTACAAACATTCTGATCCGATTTCCACAGAAATTACACCACTCTTCATTCATAATTGCAAAACACAAGGAAACAGTTCACAATGCAGGAAGTCAGAGGTCACCAGATTACAGGAACAGGTAAAGCCTCAAGAAAGTGGCCCAGTCAGACTGTACCGATTGAAGCTGCTAGGGAAATCACCGGTTCCTCCTCTGTCTTCCCATGTTCAGAAACACTCCTAAAGTGACACTCTTGGCCTCTTGCTCCATCTCTGATTCAACTCAGTCAGACCTGTTTGAAGGGTGACAGTCATCAGTCCACACCCTCTAAAGGGATGAAGTCAATCTAATAAAACAAAAGTAAATGCTGGGAATTTTTTGTTTCTTATCTCTCTAACCTGAGCTGGTGCAAGTTAAGAACCCTAGGTATGTCTGGGAATGCGACCAAACCCAAGATGTAGCCTGTGGAATTAGTTGGCCTGAAGTAGGGAGTGAAAGGACATGCTACATTTTTGACTGTAGTATGTCCTCCAGCCTAAGCCTGTTCTCCAGACTCTAAGTTAGTTAACCTTTCTAAGCAGCCCACATCACCAAGTTCTCGGGGCCACTGTGTCTGTCCACGAGGGGCTTTCTCCGTCACTGCTCTGCATGGCCAATGGGCTTTCCAGTCAGGGCCTTCTCCGTGTCTCACCAGTGAGGTAACCTGCGCTTCCTTAGCTTTGTCTTAAATTGTGCTACCAGAGCGACAGACATTCTTTGTGTGCATGAGAACATCCTTCATCACTCACAGTCGCAAAACACATGAAGGAACAATTCCAGCTGGTGGCTGTGAGGAAGGCAGGAGTGAGGCCAATGATGGAAAAGATCACATTCTAGGAAAGAGGTGAATGTGGCCTAAGCGGGCAAGGAAAGCACA